TGTTCCGCTTCTCTTCACGATATTCTCTGATTTTTTGTATAAAGTTCCATCTCCATGTTCTTAGTCGCGGAGTTTCCATAATATTAGCACGTTCATCAAGTGTCTTATAACGAAATCCAATGCTTTTAAGGTATTTTCGAAAGTAATCATCTGAATAATTAATTTGTAGATGAAGTTCTTCCAATCTACCTTTCAGTGTAGATACATTCGGCACAATATTTTCCGAGTACATACCATAAGTAATTGCTTTATTTGGGTTTCATAGGATTGTGGAATTTTTTTAAATGTCCTTGAAGATTTCCGTGGCTGAAGGGTTTCAGCAACTGGTTTCTTTTTCTCACTAATAAATCTGCGTACCGTTGTTAGAGGCACCCCGGTTACTTCATTAGCAACCACACACGCAGTAGAACAATCTTTTTCCGTTAATTTGACGTAAACGTTAACAACTACTTTTCTAACTTCTTCACAATATTTCTTGCTACTCAAACAATAAAAATGTGATTCAGTTGACGTAATTGCTGTTTCTTCGCAAAGTTGATACATTTTCTTTCCTTTCAATAAGTATATCTCCCGAAAAGTAAAAGAATACTGACGAATATTTCCCCCTGCCCTGTTTTATATGCAAATATTACAAAGAATTTTTACTTTTAAAAAACTACTTAAAAACCACTTAAACAACAATGAATACCCTTCATTGTTTAGACTCTAAAAATATAAATTTGAAATAAATTCAAAAGAATTATTTACGCCTTAAAAAAAAAGAATCCTTAAACAGTATTTAGAGTACTAATTATTGTTTACATTCGAAAAATAAAATGTTGTATTTTCACACAAAGTAATGGTATTTAAGTTTTTAAATATTATGTTTCTGTAATTTCCGTTAATGCGGTCCTGAACAACTCACGCCAGAGTTTGGGGTTCGTCAACTACCTGTTCACAACCCCGTCTTTGTTCGTTATATGATTGCAATTAAGTCATAAAAACCACCAGAAATATCGGAGACTATAATAAAATCCCTGTTTCCGAAGAAACAAAAAAAAAAGGCTAATTAAATTTACGATCTTTAATATTATAGATTAGGATAAGTAGTTACGTTTTGTTATAATTTTCGGTTAGATTTAAGAAAAATTTGGGCGATGTGCAAGGAATAGGTAATTCCTTGAATATCCATGACTTTCAAAAAGGGTATATAAGGCCGCGCAAATTGACATCGGGGAGAGTTCTTATTTGGCTGGAGCCAAGCGTTGTCGAATCTACGTCAAATTAACCTTAAATTTTCTAACCTAAGTCTGAACAACTTATTTTTTTTTATCAAGTAAAAGTAAACAAGTGTTTCTGAATTATCTTCGAAGAAATCGAAACCATACCTGAGTTCGAGTCCAATCTTCCATCCTGTTCCCGAAGGATCGGCAAACTAAATTTTCCGAGAATCCTAAACTTCTAACACCGAAGAATACCCATCCCTCAAGATCAAGGTCAGCCAGCCATTTTTAACTGACATGTCACACCTCCGGAAAGAAACAAGATAAGTGAACATATTTCCTTTTATCGGTAATCAAACGTTACTTACTTGAACTTAATCGTAAACCTGTTCCTCGTTTAAACCATTCCGTTTCTTCAGAACTCTTTAATTTTTATAACCATCGCGATTAAAAATCAATCTTAAAAGACACTCATAAAATTAACGCGTATAAGCTTTGTCTACGACAACACTGTTCTAAAAGAGTCCTCTTTCTTGCACAGACGTATTTATTTAGGCTCGTTTTTATGTTTAGTTCGTAAATTTAAAAATTTAGTTAATAGATGTCTCCATGAACCTGCAATTTATTTTTCTATTCCCTGAGATTCATGTTTTTTAATTTAAAAATGTATTTTTGTTCGTTGCGAATCAAATAAAATATTTTTGTGTGATTTGTCGTTTGTATAATTAATTTGTAAAAATTGGTTTTTTAATTTTTCAATTAATATTCTTAATTTTGTCAGCGACCTATAAACATATATTTTTTTTCTTGTTTCTATCAATTTAAATATACTGTTAAACATATTGTTTTTGATTTCATTTTTGTTCACGTCACTCATCTTTCACTTCGAAGTGGATCTTGATGTGATTGGTAAACGCAAGTTGGACTATCGCGGATCCACTGACGCCCTTAAATTTTTTAAATCCAGCCCCGTCTCGACTGAGATTTGCCGACATCTTGCGTTATTGTGGCGTTTTAATTTTTTTTTTAATATCGTCGTTTTTTTTGTACGCTACAACGTTTTCTCACAATCGAGATCACAATCGGTGATCTTCTCGATCTACGAATTCTCGTAGGCGGTTTCGACGCTCGCGTGCTCGGTCCAGCTATTTGTAATTTCTCGTCCTCCTCTTCTTCCCTTATAATCCTTAAAGCGGAATGTCCTTGCAATTCGAACGGTCCCGCTATGGCAAAATCTGCTTGCGTGCGGCTTCTCTGAGAGATCATCAGCGTCTTCCGGGTCGTCGTAACGCAGCTTCGCTTTTTGGCGATAAAATTTCTCTATTCGCCGTATTAATATTTCTCTGCGACCTCCTCGTCGCTTGCGAACTACATTTTCCACTACTCGTCTATTTTGATTTCGACCGAACCATTTGATTGAAAAATTGAAAGTTAAAGTAAAATGTAAAAATTAATAAAATTATTACAAATTAAATATAAGAAACCAAAAACTTATGTTTTACACTGTGAAAGATAAAAAATTAAATAAATTATTCCACTTACCCAACCAATAAAATAAACCTTTATGTAGAAGTTGATACCGCTATACCGCTAAAACCACCACACTTTAAAAGTTAAAAAAGAACTATTAAAATACAAATTAATTAACACTAGAAACACTTTTACAATTGCAATGAAAATTACAGAGATTCTAACTTTTACCAATATCTGAACTGATCAGAATATTAAAGTAAAAATAAAATTAGGTGTACTCTGTCTCGATAAACTCGACGAACTGCGACCAAATAAAGAGCGTTGCCGCCTTTTAAACAGGACGCTACTTAATCGGCTCGGCTCAGCACGGTCGGGATCGGCGCTTTCGGCGGAGTTGCTATACAAAGAAACTAATGGGCGCGCCCCTCACTGATTTCGACCGGCCGGCAACGACCGGCAGGCTTCGGCAACGGCAGCGTATTCTAGAAGGGGCAACTCGGTTCCACGGTCTATTGTTCATTCCATTAGAAACCTCTGTGTGATATGTACATCGCGCGCCATTGATCATGTCTGATGAAATGTTAATTGAATGTGTTCGGGAATACGACATATTGTATAATCCACTTAATAAGTATTACCATGATAACAACCAAAAGGAAAATGCTTGGGCAGATGTATCTAGAAAGATGGACTGTTCTGGTAAGTAAAAATGTATTTACTCAAGTAAATTCAAATAACAAAATATAATTTTCGGTTGATTGTTCCTTCCTGCATAAATTCGTTGTAGTTGCCACGGCACGCTTCCTTGATTTGACACAAAGTATTCTTTAAATTGGTCTCTGATATTCAATGCATCTTTCTGAAAGTTTCCTCCTGTGTTTGCTAACCTAGTAACACCTTCGACCATTACTTCCTGTTCTAATTCGTTTGTTTCGTCTC